ACAGGCACAACTGTCCAGGCGGTTTCGGTCGGGGAGGGGTTCGGTTCCCACGGAGCGATCGCAACATGATGAATATCTTCGGAGCCGTCTTCACGGGAGGGTGCTACATCCACAAGCAATTAGCTATTGCGAGCGGGTGATAGCGATCTGGAGAAGCGCGACGTACCATCACGGAGGTGGGGGAACAGGTCCGCAAAGAGGTCCTCGGACAGGATGCCGATGTCGCCCCTGACTTCATGATCGTCGAGAATTAGTCTAGCAGACAGGGAGGGCTTGTCCTGTCTTCTTCTCCGTGTCCTTCTACTCCTCCTCGCCTGTGATGGCGGCACGAGCTCCGAGGTCGTCATGCTGGCGTTTCGGTACACGGGCCGATGTGAAGCGAAGCAACAGACGATATCTCAAATACGCATCGCAGGAAGCACAAAAGAACGGCCCAGACGTCGAGTGTTAACAAAAGGAGTGAATCGTCGCGGAGCAAAAGATCAATTGAAGCCGAAGGGTATCAAAGGTCGCAGGACGTCGTGTCCCGATCGCGATGGTCGCGTTGAAGAGCTAAGCTTAGGTCCCTGAGTCCAGTGTCGGCTTGGAGTCGGGGCCAACTCAAGCTTCGGCTGGGGGTGTCTTAGGCCTCGGCATTGGCGCAGGGCCAGCTGCAGCCGCACCTTTTCCCCAATCTCCTGGGGTTACCAGGAGGTGCTGCACCTCAGGAAGGCAGCAAAATCCGGCCTGAGCGGGGATGACCGAATGACTAAGCATGTGTCCGGGGAAGCGTCGACGCCGAACAATCCCCGCGCAAACCAAACTCAACTCCATCGAGAGTCAGGTTCCTGTTGCTATTCACTAAGGCAACTGTCAATATCTCGAGTCGCGCCTGTTCATGTAGCAAGGCTGTTGTCGAAAGCCACCATGACTTGCGAATTCATCTGTGCAACAATGGTTCCTCGTGGTAAGATGTTATTGAATTCCTCCGTCCGATATCGCATCGCCAAGAAGTGCGAGGTAGGCATTGGCAAGTCGAATATTGGAATGAAAATCGTCCAATGGAAGCAGCGTTGGGTCTTTAAATTATTACTGTATGCTTTTCTTTCACTCTTCAATTCAAAGCACACATAGGTTATCCCGCCCATGTGGTCTTGACATAGCTCAAACCCCCAATTGGGAGATAAATTGGCATAGTGTACTCCTCTTTGGTGAAGTAGAGGTTTTGGGTAGTCAGCCCCAACCATAGCGCACCGCTTTACACACTCCAAGGAATGTGGCTGATCTCAAGGTCTCGACCTGCCATTCTGGAGTTGCAATCAAGTTCCCTATCAACGGCTTCTCCACTCAAGACAACGTCAGAAGAAGATGTCATATTGACGCTTCTGCGGATGAGAACACAACGTTCATCCACATGGATCCACTCACCACAGCTTGTATTTCGCCTCAAGCCGTATGTATCGACATCCTACATGCATCTGCATCCTAATCAGACACCAAAACGGGTTGTTGGTGACCAGTTCGGGTGCAGCAGCCGGCCACGTCGCAATTGAGTTTCGCCGTGAGTAAGCTGCGCATTATTTCTGGCTTACAGGACAACTCCCAGCAGCTCCGGATGACGACTCTCTGGTTTCGCGGGTGTGCGGCATCCGGACGCGCTCCATTCTTTTGGCGAGTCGCCTTGATCCAGCTGAACAGAGACAAAAGATTACCACATCTGGCACAGCACAGCCTTGTCCAAACACCAACCAGACTGCGTAATGTGGCGATCAAGCGATTGCTGGCACTGCAGATCCGGTTCGTCCTTGTTATCCGGCCGAGGAGGCTGGAAGGAAACACACGGCTCAGGGTAGAGAGCACAGACGCAGCGGCTTCAAAAAAGTCTGAATGTGCATGGGATGCTGAGTTGGCCGGGTTGACCCAGACTGCTGGCAGCAGCATCCGTACTCGGTTTCCGTATCCGTAAACACCACCCCGACTATTCTTGGGATTTTGTGGCGAAAGGCTAGGCAGAGTTCAAGGGAGCCGCGTGGGTGGTGCCGTTCAAAGGTTTGCGATGACAGGTCTGTATCTGGATGCTAGATAATTGGCAGAGTTGACGCGGCATTCCTTTGTCCTCTCGACGACACCTTTTTTTTCTTTCCTTTTCCTCCGAAGACATTGCGCAACAGATCCATCGCGGCCAGGCTCTTCCAAGATATCTGGCAGTGCTGTCGGCTTGTCGATGTTAATGATGATGCATGGTTTTCCAAACACATCTCGGGATCGTCACATGCTTTTTTTCTCCGGCTGGTTGAGGTCCAATCAATGCAAGTCATTTAACGGATGGCTCCAAACAACACAGCTGCTATGACGCAAGCGGGGCTCCTCCGGCAGCGACTGGTCCGGGCTTCTTCAGCGCTTCAGCGCAGCGTCAGCGACAAGGGGAAGCCGGGAGGCTCCAAACAAAGTTTCCTGATGGCTGCGGCTGGACCGCATGGGCGCCTGCGTTCTGGGAGGGTGTTGCGTGTGTCCGTCCTTCTGTCGTCGAGTCTCTCTGTCTCTGTGTGCACTTGCAGGTGCAGTGCCAAAGTCCAAAGTAACATTGGCATTGACATTGACACCTTCCAGGCCAGACCGCACGGCTGGAATCTGGACACAATCATACCACGATTCTTGCGGTGAGACCGGCTTGTCGTGATCTTTGCATTTTCGGCGGTACGCGAGCGCGTTCTCCCACGTCCGTACTTTTTTTTTTTGTTGTTATCCCCCCCTTCTCGAATTTCCCCATCCCTTTATCATTACCGTCCGGCGGCGCCCAAGGACCCCGAGACTCGAGTTCGCCTCTCCCTTGTTATTATTAACCCGCCAACCGTTCCGTCTAGTCGATTGGTGTGGCATTGGATCTAATCCTTACCTCCGCCCCCAATTTGCGGCGACCACACCCCTCCACCACCCCTTCCCTTCTTCCACTATCGTTCCGGATCTACGCTTTGCTTCCCTGCTTTGGATACCACCCTCTCACCTCCAATGATGCCTGTTCATGCCATCAGTGGCTTTGGACTGATCATTTGAGAACCAATTTTCCATCCCAATCATCTTTTGCCAACTTCATCGCGCATATTCATCCCGCTGCGCAAAGAGAGGCGACCCTTCCCCCTTTTCAGCTGTCCAAGTCCCTGCAAATCTCGACCCTGCGCAACAGTTGCGACGTAGACCATATTTCTCTTCTGCGATCGGGCTAAGGACCCAAGAAAGTCATGGGTAACTTTTCCGATTCCTCGGACGGCCGTCGCGACCGAATACGCGACCATGCCGTTACACAAACCGCCGTCGAGTTCGCCCAACAAGCCGAGAAGCTGTCACACCAGAAGCACGAGACCAGTGACTCCGCCGTCGCCGTCGAGGCCCGTTTCGTCACACCGCAGGATCCCGTTGTGGTCACATCAGAGGGGCATAGGCTTCCGGGAGTTCCCCTACAAGAGGCACACAAGTTGAATATACTGAAAGAAGAACTCGAAGATGGCCCCGCGGTGGTCAAGATCAAGCAAGGGGACGAGGTACAAGACGAGGTCGCCAATGCTGAGGAAAGTTCGGAAAGACAGGAGAGGGTAATTTCCCTACCAACGGACGTGGATGGCAAGTCTCTCCAAAGATCGCAAGAAGGCTCCCTTCGTCGCCAGATGCCGCCCTCACACACCAATCCCTTGTTTCCGCCTCTACCACTCTACGGGCCACCATCACTATTTCGCGATTTCCAGTGCATGGTTTTCCGGGTTTCGGCCTTCTTCCTCAGTTTGGCATTTCTTGGAGTCATTGTACTCGGCGCACTCTTCACCAGCATTCCGCCACTATGTACAAGGATATTTTACCGCCTGACACTTCGCAATCCCGACAAGCGGAGACCGTTCTTCGAGGAAGAGATGCGCAGAAACAAGCTCCGTGCAGACCAGGACAAGAATTGGAAACGGAGCAAGTCCAGCCAGAAGCTCAGCAAGGACAAGGAGTCCATGGCTGATGAGTTCGTCCCGACCGAGGGCGGGCCCGATCCAATCGTCTGCGATGTCGGATACTACGCGCGTCGCGTTGGCTTGGACGTCGAGGAATTCCAAGTACAGACCGAGGACGGATTCGTAATTGACTTGTGGCACGTCTACGACCCGAAAGAATACACGCCGTTGAGTGAGAAGGAGAGAGCCGACAGAGGGCCCGACGTTTTCACCACATCAAGGAAGAAACTCAAGGATTTCGAACAGAAGAAAAAGTTTCCTGTCCTGCTTATGCACGGCTTACTGCAGAGTTCCGGCGCATACTGCACCAATGACGAGGACTCCCTCGCATTCTACCTTTGCAAATCTGGCTTCGACGTCTGGCTTGGTAATAACCGATGTGGCTTTAAGCCCAAGCACGTGTTGCTCGAGTACTCCGACCCGAGGATGTGGTGCTGGAACATCCGCCAGATGGGCGTTTTTGATCTGCCGGCGTTGACTTCGCGAGTTCTCTACGAAACCGGATTCGAGAAGATTGGTCTGATCTGCCATTCCCAAGGCACAACACAGACCCTCGTGGCCTTGGCCAAGGAGCAGCGACCAGACTTGGGTGAAAAGTTGACCGTCTTCTGCGCCCTTGCACCTGCCGCCTACGCGGGACCTTTGATCGGAAAGATGTACTTCAAGTTCATGAGGATCATCACCCCTGGCATGTTCCGCTTAATGTTCGGTATTCATGCCTTTATCCCCTTCATGATGCAGATGCACCAGATACTTCACCCCAAGATCTATGGCTGGCTCGGTTACAAGGTTTTCTCGTTCCTCTTTGACTGGACGGATACAAGATGGGACCGCGGTCTGCGAGACCGTATGTTCCAGTTTGCGCCCGTCTATGTCAGCTCGGAATCCATGCGATGGTGGTTGGGAAGGGAATGCTTCGCAAGGCACAAGTGTATCCTTTCTACCAAGGAGGATGTCCGCGCTGAGGAGAAGGAGGACCGCATCAACGGCGACGACTCTCACACCCTGCGAGCCGATGACGCCGACGGCCTTATGTCCCCTCGTACAGTCGACGAGCACACTCGCAGGCCCAAGGGCTCAACAGCATGGTACAACGAACAAGCACCGCCGTTCGCACTCTGGGTTGCTGGAAACGATGACCTCGTCGACGGCAAGAAACTCCTACGCAGATTCGAGAGAGGCCGCGAGCCGCATCTCCAGGTGGTTCACAGCAAGGTCATTGATGAGTACGAGCACCTTGATGTTATCTGGGCTATGGATGCCCCGCAGCAGGTGTTTACCGAAATCCGCGAGGTTCTGTGGAAGACTTGCAATGCGCGGGACAAGTGTCGCATTCCCAAAGGCTGCGAGGACGTGGCGAAGTGGGTGCCGCCAGCAGCCAAGGCCGTCAACGGGGACACAGAGGAGAGTCAGTCGAGCAGTGACGATACCGAGTAGACTTTGGCTTCCGAGTTTCGGCAAGTTTTTTTTGCATGAGTTGGAAGCGGCGTTGGTGAAGAGACGAGAAGACGTAGACCTCGCATATACCTCGGGCGGCAGGCGTGTTTTGGCTTCCATCGGCATCGCACAGGAGTAAAAGCGTTGGACGACTTCTTGGATTGCACGAGTAAAGGTATGGAACACGCGTAATGGTAATCGTTCTGGCAAGAACACGGTTGGAAGAGTATACATGTATACACTAGAGTAAGAGTAGACGACGTCCACGAATCATTGACTGCGGTAATCACTTCATTCTCCTCCCGGGGTCGGATGGCATGGTTGAGACAGAATTCTTTGCCGGCCCAACAACACATTTTATGGACTTGTATTCGTAATTAAATTCTATGACCAGCTGATTAATTTCCCGTTTTACCAGCCATGTTCTTCATCGGTGTACCGCTGCACATAGCACAGTCACGGGGTTCTGTTTCCCGAGTTTCTGTTATGCTGGCCTCGTCGACTAAAAAGATTTACACCTGCACCTGGGTACATACTGATGTCTTTCATGATTATCATTCTCTGGGTATTGGGAACGATTTAAGTCGAGATTGACAACGCACTGCTAGATCGAGACGTTTTGGCAAATACCAATCACCTCGAACACAGACACTGACTTGCTAGTCCGACGGTGCTCGCACGCTCGATCGACAGACTTGATCGGCCTGCAAACTATGATAAGTCTCAATTGCTTGAGGAGTACATAGGATGTGGACGAATGGTTCGTTTTATACTCTGCTAGTGCGATGATGATGTTGACGACTTTCCGGGGAAGGAGCTTGACTTTTCCTCACTGTAACCTTGTTGACTATGAGGTTGTTACTGCTATCGAATAGACCGCTGGTTGTGGATCGATGTCGAATATATAAAGCCTACTACGTTACTGTCGGCCATCAGCCCTTCAATGTGACGAGGATGGGAGAAGATATCTCAGTCCGAATGACTTAATGCCGTGGCCTTTGAAGAAGTCTCACGCTAAGAGCTTCTGGAAACTTGAGAATTCAAAACGTTAATCTGTATATCCGTTCCCTCTCCGGCGTTTTCTCTGGCTTATTCCAGGAAATAATGATACCAGAAAGGATCATCTGATATGTGTTGTGCGAAAACCTACATGCCCATGATGTAGAAACATTGAAGCTTGGGGTGATCTATTGGTATCAAGCTCTGGAAGCGGCAGACATGATTGGGTCACTAGAACTTGTGTCAACTCTCGATGTTTGATGTTAGAAGTAGACACACGTCAACAGTATTTTAGTATAAAACTGGAGGAGCCTGCCTCAGTGCAGTTCCGTCCAGGCAGCAGACAATATGGGAGACAATGAGACCCGGCATAGGCTGTATCCTCATGAGCAACGATATCACTGTGCGGTCACGCAAGTATATCAATAAATGTAATACCAATATCAGCACTATATGCACATTCTAGGTCACTGCTTCGCTGGTGTTGTCCCCTTATGCGATGGAATAACCGAGAAACATTATGCGCCTTGAGCGGATGATGGAAAGCCACCTTCGACAATGTTAACATTCTCGTCTCGGAAGTTGAAGTGATATCGCAGTTGTGGCTTGGCTTTTAGTGCGGAAAAGCATTCTGCTGAGTCAGTACTTGGAGCAAATGAGACTAGAAGTGGCGGTTATGAATGGAAGACATTGTTGCCCCTTAGCTGCACGTCTAAAGGAAGCCAGAATATGAGGACCAACGTAGAATAAGTCAAGGACAACAAAAAGCTCTTAGATCGAGATATTAGCCGAAGATGACCTCGCAGACAGAAGTTAGCTTTCTAATGCATGCATGGTTTATTCCATTGGAAGCAAAATTTGCATAATAATCACTTCAAAAGCAAAGCTTTTCGTCAACTCTTCGCTGCCCTGACATGGTCGCCACTAACGATGGTCTCAAACAAGGCGACGTAGGCATTAGAAACCGAACTTTCTTTATTCAACCAACTTTGACCGAGATCGTTCTTCCCGATGAAGCAATTCAATTGATTCTCAAACACGGGTCCCAATCGAAAATGGATGTTGCTGCACTCTGTGTACATAAATTCATAGTGTACGTGATTCTACCAATATTAATTCTCTTCATCTCCTTTCGTTTATCCTCAGGGATGTTTATGTTAAGCTGCGGCTCGTGCCTACTTGATGGAATCTGAATGTTTTACACCTCGTCTTGAGGCAACATAACTCATGATTGCCATATTCTTTATCATGTAAAGCGCCAAATGCATTTCGATACCTTCCAAGTAATCACCCCTTCGCAGCCCTTTTATCACTTGGCTCAACGCAAACCTTCCACCAGGATTGGAATGGGTATATTAATCATCCATAGCGGACATCTTCACCCAGAAGGACCCAACAAATATCCGGGGCAGCCTGCGGTGTTCTTCTTCAAACCTCGAAAACGCGGTCAAGTCTTCTGGGCTCTGTTTACGACTACATATGGCACGATCTCAGGTGCTCATGCCTGGTCTCTGTATGACGTTTGCCACTGGCGTTGCCCTGTGTATATTACGCAGCAGATCATGCAGGAAACGATCTTGAATCCGAATGAAGGACGGAGATTCACATGATTTCGAACACGCTTTCTCGACTGTATCGCTACTAATATTTCCAGACTAATCAAACAGTTCCGTTACAAATCATAACGATTGTTACCCGAATTTTCCTGAAGGTCGACTCGTGTATACAATAGTACAATTTATATAGATAATTAGCCTCTTAGAATGCTTAAAATCACCAACCATGAACTGTTAGACACGCTGAACGTCGAAACACTCGTTAACGCTAATCAACATATGTACTAAGAAAACCACAAATCCTTATTTGGCGGGTGCGCCATTTGGAGGTTGCTTGCTGAGAGGAAGAAATGGTATATGCTTCGTTTTACATAGTCTATCAAGACCTTTGTACAAGAACCTCAAGGCTCTATATCTACGACTCCTCTACAGAGGCGGCTCGAGACGAGGCCCCTGGCAAACTTCATGCATGTCTGCGTTTTCAAATCCTGCTTCAACACACCTCCATCCACCTCAACCGATCCTCTCCGCCTCCTCCATCAACTTTTCAACACTGAACCGCGGGTCTCCCGTCCTAAACCACTCCAGCAGCTTCTTCCTCTCCGCCGCCCTCTCCTTCCCCTCCGCCTCTCCATAAAACCTCTGCAGGCACATCACAAGCCACTGCGCATGCTCCGACTTGACCCCGCGGTCCTCTGACACCTTGCCGTGCATCAGCACCAGGCCCCTCTCGTCCGCGAGGTCCGTGTGGTGCGTCACCGTCGTGTGCGGCTGCGCGTACTCCCCGCGCGCCTTGAACTCGGCCAGCTGCGTGAACATGACCGTCGCCGTCTTGGACGCCGCGTCAAACACCCACTGCAGGAAGTGGATCTCGGCGCCCTGCGACTCGTGCGGCACCGGCAGCACGAACTGCGGGTTCTCCCGCGCGAGGGCCTCCATCTGCCGGAACGTCGACGACGGGATCACCGCGCACAGCGACGTCGGGTCCGAGGCGTGGCGCAGCCGCCAGATGGCCGTCAGCTCCTTGTCCGGCAGCTCGCGCGCCTTGGGGAGGTCGAGGATCTCGTCGAGGGACTTGATGCCGTTGCCCGAGGCGCCGGGCACCGGTGGCGGCGGCGGCGCGCCTTTTTGTGTCGTCGCGGCCGTCGCCGCGGGCGCGGGTTCGTCGTTGAGGATCTCGTCCAGCCCGGGCACCGAGATGGCGTCCCGCTTCTTCTGCTCCTGGATCTTGTCGGCGTAGGCGGCCTTGAGCTCGTCGATGTTGGAGACGCCCTCCTGCTTGGCCTTCTGCTCGAGCTTCGCGCGGTACTTTTCGACGACGGCGCGGGGCTGCTGGGTCGTTGCGAGGAAGCGCACGTCGTGGACCTGGGCCCAGCGGCGCTGGTTCGATGCGCGGAAGGCGCGCGCCGAGGAGGTGACGAGGTGCCGCAGCGCGGGGATGCGGCAGGATGCCATGTTTGCGTGGAGTCGGGGTTTGGTTCTCCTCGGTGTGTGTTGGGATCGAGATCGGTTTCGGTGGGTGTTTGTCGCACGCGCGGATTGAGGGGTGGTGAGGGTAAGGTGCAAAAGTTGGATTGTCACTCATGCAGCGTCTTCAATTGAAAAGCTCATGTGGGCCCGGTGGCGGGGCCGGTTTTCGGCGCAGCTAAATGCCGGGCTGCAGCACGGAGGCGGGCCGCAAACTCAACCCGTCGCGCTTCGTGCCTCCGATTTGCATCCTCGTCTTTGCAGGAAACCTTATACCCAAAACTGAATCGAGCATATCGCGCGCCTTCTATATTTACTGCGTTAGCTTTACGCCGCTTCGGCCCGCAGTCAAAGTTACATTTCTTTCCTCTCATACTCTTTCGTAACGGCGAGTTGATCCGGAGGCCTGCCACCCATCCCCACCATCTACAGACAAATTTTCGCTTGTTCAAATCATGTCATCGCCTCCTAAGTCCTCGAAGTCCCCGGCTACCTGCTCTTACCAAGTCCAATTCCATCGTTCCTCGACAACCCTCCGGCCCTACTTCAGCAGAAGCTATGCGATTCGTGCGGCGATGTGGAGGAACAGTGCATGCCAGTGTACCGCAACCTCAAGACTGAGACACGCTCTTTCAACCTCTGCTATGTCTCTTCCTTTTTGGCTGCCGTCCGCGATGATGTGGAGAAATCCTAGTAGTCTGGGGACCAGTCGCTGATTTATGGTGATATTCGAGAAGAGAACCATCGACAAATCGCTCCGGATGACTCCCCCATAACCTTCAGCGAAATGATCGTCGTCTCAAACAATAGCCCAAATCAGCATGCAAGAAGGGCAAATCTAGCTCTGCTCCGTTGACGCGGTCTATCAGGCGCCCTACATGAGGCTCAGGCTGTGCGGCATTGGTTTCCAAGCCACGCATCCTCTGTTGCCGTCACTTCTCTGTTCAGCGTCTAGCACGTTTCACCAAAGCTTTCCTGCGATAAGCAGCCGGAGGTGTGATTTAAGACCGCAGGCCTTCGAGTCGGCTCTTCCCCGGATTCTGGCGCGGGGCTCGTCAACCGCTTTTCGGGAGCGGGGCCGGTACGCCGGATTGTGTTCCAGTTGTCACAGCACAGGTAGTGTCCGTCGCAAATGGTCCCCTCTTGGCTGCAATCGTGTCAGTTGTACCAGGGATTTGGATACAAAAGACGATTGACGCTTCTATGAGCCAGTGTCTGATAGAGAGCTATGGCCAAAGTACCCATCTCGGCCGGGGCTGTCTTGGGCGCCCCACAGCGAGCGGTTACATCCCGTCCGGGGCAACCCAAGCCTGGGGAAGGCCATCTGGGGTCCAGGTCGCCCTGCGGCTTAAAGCCAGCGTCTTTGGGCCAAGACCATCTCTCCCATCCACAATGGTGTCGATGAGTATCGAACCATGGCCGTGAGACACGGAACTGGCTCAAGTGAGCTGGTAGTGCCCCAGAAAGCTTGTGCACAAGCTGAGATTACGCACCATGAACGAGGCGATGAAGCTGCGATTTGCTGGACCAAGCGGTGGTGATGTGTCTTATGAGCTCAATCAGCGCACGTGGAGATGGCAAAGAAGGTGTTTGAGCGAGCGAGAGGAAGTCCCGACTGGATGATGGCTTTCTTCCTGTGTCTGCGACTTTCCTTCTCTGCTGTCAGTAAATGTCCTGCTTGGATGTAGCAGGGGCCCGCGGGAAATCCGGCGTCGAGAGGGAGAGTGTGCTGACCGTGTCGGAGTTGACTGCCGGGTACAGATCACGTCCGCGTCTTGGGTCGAACAGGGAGGGTGGGAGGTGAGGCGAGGCGACGGTGCACCTGCATCAACCGCACCCCAGCACCATCTCATCTTCGGTTTCCCCAGATCACAGAACAACCGATGAATGATTTCCGGTGGCGTCTTTCGTGCTCAACCGTTGGCAACGCTGCTGTGCTGCCTTCGTACCTAGTCGCAACGCTGCCCCTTCAAAAGAAGAAAGTCGCCATCACTAAACGAGACAGGTGATACGTCATCAACACAATCTGGACCAGGACCCGAGGAATGAAGACGCAGAAGATCTTCCCTTCCCACCCCAAGTGCGGGGGAAAACCCCATGTCCAACGTCTGAGGAAACGGCACTAAGGCAGGTGCCGATGGTGGTGGTGGTGGTGGTGAGCTACCAACCCGTCGGGATTGGCTGCGCCATCAAAACACCCATGACGCGAAGAAACAGTCCCTGCTGCCGTCTGGAAACCCGGAGAGGTGTGTGTCGCCTGGCCATGTGGGATAATGATGAGGGGAAGCCGGCCGGTAGGGCTTGGGTTGGAGAAGCGGTTATTATTAGCACCGCTCGATCCGACCTCGATCTTTCCCCTCATCTCATCTTTATCTCGACTTCATGTCATCTCGAGTAATGTACCGTCAGGCGACTTCACCGGTGGCCCGCCAGCTTGTCTTTCAAGGTTCACGTTGATTGTTGTACAGGAACTATGGACAGGGCAACACTATGAAAACATTGTCCAGGATCGGACTGACGCTGAAAACCAGGTTCGAGGGCATTGCTCTTTCGCCTCTCGAGTTTCTTCCCCTCTCCGAGCGGATATCTCTCTTCTATGTCTAACCTTTCTTGGTTTTGGTAAATCGCTTTCAAATCACATCTGCTTTCCCGCCTCACCAGCAGCACATTTACTCAGCCCAAGTGGGCTTGAAAGTCCAACGCTGGTCCTCGCCCTGAGAAAAGGGGACACCGAGCTCGAACAGCTTGACAATAACGTTGGAGAAGTCCTTGAAGAAGGAGTCGTTGTCCTTGGCGTACTGCTCAACGTACTTCTTGAAGGTCTTGTCCTGGATCAGAGCGTAGTCGGCGGGAAGCATCATCAGGGTCTTGGTGCCCTTGTCCTCGTACTGGGCAGGGCCGTCCCACTTCTTCCACTGCCACTTCTCGTTCAGGAGCAGCTTGTAGTAGTCGTTGGTGAGAACGGTGGGAGAGAAGGTCCAGGGGCCGTCGAAGCCGGAGCGGTCGGTGTGGCAGCGGCCAAGGGCGTGGGCGCCGGCCAAGGCAACGATCTCCTGGTCATTGAAGCCCATGCGGTAAAAGATATCGCGAAGGTGCTTCTCGCGCTTGGAGGCGTCGGGGAGACGACCGTCGGGAGTGCAAGCAGCAGCCTCACCGTCCTTGCGGCCAGGGCGGTAGGGGATGACGGGGCCCTGCATCTCCTGGATGGCGCAGACGCCACCGAGGATCCAGAGGTCGGAGTAGGAGATCCAGGGGAATTGCTCTGCGAGAGGTTAGCATTGCTGACTGGGGCAATTGACTTCAAATCGGAAGCGACCTACTCTTGACGGGCTCGAGGAAGTCACGGGCAGCCTTCAGACCGGCGTTGGCGCCGTGGTCGGACTCAGGGGCGAAGCGCATGGTGGCGCCGTTGCTGCCACCGGTGCCAGTCTCCTTGTCGAAGGTGCCGCTGGCGTGCCAGGCCAGACGGACGAGGACGGGGCCGTAGCTGCCGTCATCGTACTCGTCGTTCTCCTCGAGGCGGTCGGCAATGGCCTTGTACACCTTCTCGTAGTCGGCCTTGGTGGGGTTGACGATCTTGGGGGTCGAGCCGGCAGAGACGCCGCCCTCGCGGGTGTAGAAGTAGCCGCCGGCTCCAACGACTGCGGCACCGGTGAGCCAGATCCAGGTGGAGCTGCCGGACTTGGAGGCTGGCTCGGAAGAGTAGAAGCGGCGGCCCTGCTGGCGGAAAGCCTGGCGAGGAGCGACGGCGAAAGTGTTTCTAGCGGTGGTGCGCATCGCCGCGCGGGCAAATTGTCTGGTAGAAGCTGCCATCTGGTTGGGGTTGTGTTAGTTTTGGGCTTTATCGTGGACAAGATTGCGGTGTGTGTGTGCCGGGTGACCAGCCGGTATAAGAACAACACTCCTTAGCAAGAAGATGATGTATGAAAGCTGTGGCGGGGGGGTTGGAAATAGCTGGAGACTAACCTTGCTTGAGCTTGAGATGTGTATGGGATATCAAGAATCAGATCACAATTCCAACGGAGCGTAGAAAAGAAAGAAGGAGTGGAAAACTCTCCAGCGGGGAGGGGCGGGAAAGGGAGCAATTGACAGTTTAAAAGAGACTCTCAATGTTCCTGCCCGTTGCCCGGGGGCGTTTGAGAACCAGCTGTGTACCCTAGGCTTGGCCGAGCTGGCACACCAGGCAAAGGCTACTCGGCTTCGAAGGCCGCCTTCTGGCACCATTCCGGAGGGGGGTGAGAGCACAAGACCAGGACCAAGGACCCCGACTTCTCAAGGAGAGACAGACCTCAAAGTGAGAGAGAGGGACCGAGGGAGGACGGCGACGTGTGAAATGAGAAATTGATGGCCTCTGACTGGTCAGATTCGTGAGCTCCAGTCCAGAAACAGGGGACCGGGGGCGGCCAAGATGCGTGGGAGCCACTGTTTCTTCTCCCCCCCGGGCAAGGGCCCGACTGCCTCCTGCTTCGCCATGTGGGTTCCCACGACGTTTGTGGTGGATCCCGACTTTTTACGTCGTCGTCTCCTGCGTTCGCCTTGTGACGGCACGGGAAGGTGTGCGCGCGGTACCTTACCCTGCACCTGTGGAAGGTGTATGCTGTAAGCCGAATGGAGCTAGTTTGCTCACCAACAAAGTCGAGAAATTCCGTGCTAGCGACCGATATCGAAACGTGCCGGTGCTGGGCTCAGTGCCGTTGTACCTGTCAGAGATAAGGCCGAGGACGAGGTATCTTTTGCACAGCATCTGAGTCTTACAGCCCGAGAAACGCTGACACATGCGCTAGCATTTGAGTTGGCCATGTGGCTTCCGTTGCATTCACACAATTTTTTTGCTCCGATAATGGAGGCCGGGCAAGGCAGAGAAACCCCCGAATTGAGCCCAGAACTGTGTTGCTTATGAGAGCAACAATTCTAACTTTGGCATATGACACTTGAAATCAAATAGCAGCCTCCAATGGGCGACTGGCAGCATGCTGCAATAGGTCCTT